TTCCTATGGAATATCCTATATACAGTTCTCCATTACCTTTTACTCTTATTTCACGCCTCCCTTTCTATTATTGTTATAAACGTACATTTTTTTCTCTTTATAGAACTAACTTTCCTTCAATGTTATTATATTATCGTGTGCGAACCATATAAAAAAAACATAAAAAATAGAATGCGTTTTGATTTGTTTCCTCGAACAACAGGACCTTTATCTAGCAGAAGTATTACAAAAAAGGTGATTTTTTGAAAACAAATCAAGGTGAACTGCCTAACTTACGTAGTGCAACCGAAGTATATTTACTCGACGTTTCGCTTTACAGTTTCTTCTAAATTGTTGTATACAAAACAAACTATGTAAAGCACTTTCGAAAAAACGAGACGTCGAGCAAATATAACATTTTCCCTAAAGTCTAACCATACTGTTTAAGATTGACTGTCCTCGAACAAGTTTGGTTATAAACCTCACTGTGGCTATATTGGGCATGTAAAACTTGACTTTAAAAAAATCAAAAAACGTCAACCTACAAAGAATAAAGTGATTGATAATCTAATATTTCCCAAAAATTCCTACCATTAAGATTTAATTTTGATTAGAGATAATGGGTAAGAAAAGACAAATAAATAAATTAGATTTTCCATTAAACGTTGTTTAGCAGGGTATATTGGTCTGTTATTAGGCTATTTTCTAGGTCAGATCACTTATAAACAACAAAGGATCTAAATAGTCTTATTGTATTATCAAAATAGCAGGCTTTTCTGGGGTATACTAGTAATTTCAAATAATGTGATTACAACGACAGCTTTCCTTCTTGCAGAATATGTCATCGCACGTTGTATCGTTGTATGAATGTTAACGTAAAGACTTCAGGACGATTCCGCAATCAGTTAATAGTCAATGTCGTGGTTGGTAAACTTTCAGATGAAGATATGATACAACCATTTTTGACGAAGGGTTTTCATGTTACGAGAATTTTCAAAGCTGTAAATCCAAAGAACGAAACATTTAGAAGAAAATATTCAATGCTCTTTGCGAAAGAAGAAAACGCGCATAGCAAATCGTTTAGGACAGAAAAGAGCTTCGAAATTTCACCCGAGGGAAGTCCAAAGAAACGCTCTCGTCTACAAAGTGAAGACAATATTTACCAAACAGAACTTCCCAGAAAAAAAAAATATGAAAAAACATTGAAATGGAGCCGGGCATATCTCCTAGTATTAATAACAATATAATAAACAAGGATTTGAAGTTGGCGAACACTCATAAGCCAAATGTTTGCAAGCTTTCAGTCGTATCTCAAAATCAAACGCAGTTTTATGAAAAAATGATAAAAAAGATGATCGACGAAACTCACACCAACCTTATTTGACCACATACCTCTTTAGTCTATGCAGCTCCAATGAACTTCCGTGGTTTAGTTTTGGTCTGCTTAAATATGGCCTTAGAAGAATGTGACTCTGTTGGTTTCAAAGACCACATTTAAGCAGAATGGATGGACAGAGGAGCAGAAAGCAGTATATCTGGCAACGAGCCTGAAGGAACAACCATTGTAAATACTGTCAGCAGATGACAGGCACAACTATAGAGCACTAGTAGCTGCTCTAGAACTCAGGTATAGAACTCAAAATCAATCTGAAGTCTACAGGGCTAGGCTTAGGACGAGAGTCCGTGCTAAAGGAGAAAGCCTGCAAGAGCTGACACAGGACTTGGAAAGTATGGCACACAAAGCCTACCCAACTACACCACCCGATGTCCTCAAACTGTTGCTGAGGGATCAGTTTGTAGATGCCTTGGACATTCCACAACTGAAGATACAATTAAAGCAAGCACAGCCCTCTACTATGCAGGATGCAATGGCAAGAGCTCTTGAATTTGAATCCTACGTTAAGTCCAGCACAGAGGTAACAAGGTTGGTACAGTCATCAGGATTCAAGGGCAGCTTTCAGGGAGGTTTGAGGGACTTTGCTGACACTGTAACAAACCTGGGCACAAGAAAGCTCAATGCCGGAAACGTCAACACATGGAAGATGCCACGGCAGGAAAGGCTGCTACTCAGAAAGGTTGTTGGAACTGTGGAGAGCAAGGACATATGAGGAGCCAGTGTAACAAAAATACTACCAATAAGTCAGCTTCGGGAAACCAGTAGTGGTTGGTGTTGAAGGACGCCCATCAACCCCCATTGAGAAAGTCCCAACAGCTAAGTGTAAAATGCCAAGCACACATAGTGTCTACGTGACAGGAAAACTGGATGTCCAAAAGTTCAACTTTGTCATAGATTCTGCATCTCAGCAAACCATTGTGAGTATCAAGGTGCTGGATCACAAAGGAGTACCAGAAGTCATACAGAAGCTCTGTGGTGTGGCAGGACATTATGCAAGGTTGTGGGGACCAGTGTGGGTAACTAATGAGCTCATAGGCATGAAGGACAGACACGAAGTATACTTGGCTGGCATTGAAGACCAATGCATACTAGGGTTGGACTACTTACTGCCGAGGAAGTGTGTAGTTAACTTCGATAAAATGAGGTTTGAGAACAACAAAGGCCGAATTACAGTAAGTGAGTGTTAAAAGAGAGGTTAAAATAACAAGCTGACGTCAAAGTGACTGAAAAAGTTGATGATGGTGAAGTGGAACCAGGTATAGATATTCAATCAGAGCAGGAGAAAGACTAAGATTTGAAGGCAATAATTGATTTTCTACAAGCAAGTGTTTTGCGCCCTGCTTGGGAGAAGGTGTTTAGCTTAAGCTCTGTGACAAGACTATTGGGCGCAATAGGACCAGTTGAAGCTTGAAGATGGTATTCTTGTCC